GAGAAACAAACCCTTTTACGACATGCTTGTTAGAGGCACAGTGGGTCTACCCACTGTCCAGACCAATCGGCACTAGGTGGGTCATGTGGTCAGCATTATGCCGGCCGTCTTTAAATTCCCAGGAGATACATCCTGGTACCCATTTTAGGCTGGGCTGATCTGCGACGCCCCACACCATAATCAACATCCACGCAGCCAGCAGTGGGTTTCGATCGCGGTATGTTGGCATTACGAGTCGGACTTGCAACGCCTAAACCACGGATGCCGTCTTTTGTGTTAATTTGAAGGAAAAAAATCTTCCGTTTCACATACATACAATTCTCACTTTAAATTTGACATTTGGTTTCCTACACCCCCCCCCCCCTTTTTTTTCCCCACACACGGCTTTGGAACACACACGGTTGGAGATTTAAACCCAGGACTGTCGTAGTGTCAGGCCAGCAACTAGCCATCGAGCTCCAGCAGCTGCTGTACATATTTGTAAATACATAGAATGTTTTTTTCCTGGAGTAAAATTGCTCAAATGTCTGTTAAATACCATATGCTGATAATAAACTTGAAGTTCAAATATAAAGCTTGCATTAAGTTACAGTACAATAGAAGTATGCATAAAATCCTAATGTGTGTTTGCATGTTTTAGCATAGTTACATATAAACAATTGTGATTTGTTTTAAGTTTGGTGATACTCAGTAAAGATATGAATTCATTCATAAATTAAAATGTACAACTTTTATCTGGGGTTATTGGTGTTATTCATTATTAAACATCATTATCATCATCGTTATCGTTATCATTGCTGCTTTCATTGTTATCGTTATGAATGTTATCTTCTTTGTGTTGTTTTAAGTAAAAAGTAAAAATACCTTTTTAGACTGGGTCGATCTGCGACGCTCTACACCATAATAAACATCTACGCAGCAGTGGGTTTCGATTGCGGTGTGATGGAATTACGAGTCGGACTCGCAACGCCTAAGCCACGGATTCCGTCTTTTGTGCTAATTTAAAGGAAAAAAAAATTCGTTTTACATGCAATTCTCACTTTAAATTTGACATTTTTTTTCTTTGTCAAAGCAGCTATGGCGATTTTTAAACTTTAAGGGCGTTTCTCAAATTAAAGGGAGCACAAGGCCTTTTATTTTCAAGCTGAATTTCAGATATACTGTCATTTTCTGAAACTGAAGTTGCGCATTATTTCTGTAAAGTTTTCAGATTATCGTATATATATATATATATATATATATATATATATATATATATATATATATATATATATATATATATATATATATATATATATATATATATGCTCTCCTGTCAACTCCTTGCGACGCATCACTGAGTGGACTAGAGGGAACGAAACAAGTGACATAGTTACAGTGTGTCGGCGATAGACAGCGTGCAGTGCCCTAGGGTTAGGGTTAGGGTTAGGGGTAGGGATTGGGTTAGGTTTAGAGTTAGGGTTAGGATTTGGGTTAGGGTGTGGGCTGCTACGATGAGTTTGTGCGAAGACGAGATGCGGCGACACTAACCCTACCCCTAACCCAAATCCTACCCCTACCCCTACCCCTAACCCTACCCCTAACCCTAAACCTAACCCAAACCCTACCCATAACCCTAACCCTACCCCTAACCATACCCCTAACCCAAACCCTAACCCTTCCCATAACCCTAACCCTACACCTAACCCAACCCCTTCCCCTAACCCTAACCCAACCCTAACCCTAACCCTCTCTACCCCTAACACAAACCCTACCCCTAACCCCAAACCTAACCCACACCCTACCCCTAACCCTAACCCAAACCGTAACCGTATGATTATAGCAGGGCAGTGCACGCTGTCTATCGCCAACACACAGTAACTATGTCATTTGTTTCGTTCCCTCCTTTCCACTCCGTAATTGCACTGCAGCAAGGGGACAGAACTCCGACTAACCGGCCGTCGACTGTTGTCTACCGGCCGTAGTTGACAGGAGAGCCCACAATTGTTTATTATGCGTCTGTTCTAAAACATACAAACACACATTAGAATAACAACAAATTGCCGGCGTAGAACGTTGAATGTTGAATTAAGAATCGACATCACAGCACTCGGGACACTCCCATAAGTGCTCAGTCCCCATCTTCAGCAGCAAGCGAAGAGTTTCGAATGTGAATGATTCAGACGCTAAGGGTCACAGCCTGAAAAAGAGGAAGGTTTTGGATGGCGCAAGCTAAAGACACAATCATACTTGTGTTCAGGCTTGATACATTTGTCTGAGGTGAGGAGTGGGTCAAAGTGTCCCAGCAGGTTTCAGACTTGTCTAGGGTATATACATATACATATATATATATATATATATATATATATATATATATATATATATATATATATATATATATATGTGTGTGTGTGTGTGTGTGTGTGTGTGTGTGTGTGTGTGTGTGTGGGTGGGTGTGTGTGGATCCAGTCCTAAATTTTAACCAGAAAAAGTCCATACCACCCATGGAATGCTGAAAAGTCTACAGAAATCCGAGCACTAAATGCCCCGGGGGTTCTTTAGTTATTATTCTACTTCCAAACACACGTACAAACAAACACGACAACTTATTATTGACTGTTAGGTGTCGTTGGTAATCCTGTCTGTTCACAACCTGTTGTCGTGTGTCCTGTCAATCATTGTTGATACATTAGCTCTGTCATGCCATCATACACACACAAACTACGCGGCTACAGATCGATATCAGAATTCTGTCACCACAGCTGGACTCGAAGAGAAAATAAAAGACGGGCCTAAACAGAAACGGTCGTTGACGCGAGAGAGGAAGTTTGGTTTGCGAACACTCGCTCTCCCTGGCACACTGGCAGAACTCACGCGCTGGTGACAACTTCACGCTCTGTGTGTTCACACAGTTTCTACAACCAGGCCAGTCTGGCAGCTTCTACAACGGTGGCATCAGCAATAGAGCTCACAGCGGCATCAACACAACAGCTGTGTTCGTGTTGACATTTTCGAGTTGTTTGTTTGTGTTTACTTGTGGTGAATTCCTCGTTTTGATTCTACGCCAGAGGCGGTGACAAACAACACGATAAATATAAATAAAGCATGCAACCATTGTAATTATCACGTCCTATATCCCACCATTAAGCTATACGTTTATCATCTTCCGAGTTAGATGCAGTAGTGCCTTGGCTCGATGTTCATCTGCTGACCCTAATGTCAAGGACTAAGTTTTAGTTTATACAACAGATCAACATCGTGGCACAAGGGTAGCAACCTATAAGTGCTCCGTTATACTTCTAACTCAAGCTTGAGTCCACAGAATCTCAGCGCAGTGCACGAACTCCGTAGCACCGGCACGGATACGTGAAATACTTTTGGGTATATTTTGTTTTCCAAATTTTGCCCGGACAGCACCTTCAGGCAACTTTGTTTTATTTCCATCTGCCAGGGTATTTTTTTTACTTGCTCAACAATAAACACGGCGTCCGATCATACTACCCAGAGACTAAGGAAAATAACTAAAAGTCAACGTGAAGAAATTCCAGCTTCACCGGGGCTTGAACCCTGGACCTCCAGCACTCGAGGCGGACGCCATGCCTTGAGACCACGCAGCTCTCTTGAAGTCCGCACCGAGGTCGGTTTTTCCTTTTTAAAGACTTTGGTTTACAATTCAAAGGTGTGTACATTGTCCTTGGTTCACAGGTCCATCTAGCATTGTCCTTGGCCCACAGGCCAATCTAGCATTGTACTTGGTTCACATGCCCATCTAGCATTTTCCTTGGTTCACAGGTCAATCAAGCATTGTCCTTGGCCCACAGGTCAATCTAGCCTTGTCCTTGGTTCACAGGTCAATCTAGCCTTGTCCTTGGCTCACAGGTCAATCTAGCCTTGTCCTTGGTTCACAGGTCAATCTAGCCTTGTCCTTGGTTCACAGGCCAATCTAGCATTGTCCTTGGCCAACAGGTCAATCAAGCATTGTCCTTGGTTCACAGGTCAATCTAGCCTTGTCCTTGGTTCACATGCCAATCTAGCATTGTACTTGGTTCACAGGTCAATCTAGCATTGTACTTGGTTCACAGGTCAATCTAGCATTGTACTTGGTTCATAGGCCAATCTAGCATTGTCCTTGGCCCACAGGCCAATCTAGCATTGTCCTTGTTTCACAGGCCAGTCTAGCATTGTCCTTGGTTCACAGGCCAGTCTAGCATTGTCCTTGGCCAACAGGTCAATCTAGCATTGTCCTTGGCCAACAGGTCAATCTAGCATTGTCCTTGGTTCACATCCCAATCTAGCATTGTCCTTGGCCAACAGGTCAATCTAGCATTGTCCTTGGCCCACTGGCCAATCTAGCATTGTCCTTGGCCCACTGGCCAATCTAGCATTGTCCTTGGCCCACTGGCCAATCTAGCATTGTCCTTGGCCCACTGGCCAATATAGCATTGTCGTAGGGCCACAAGCCAATCTAGCATTGTCCTTGGCCCACTGGCCAATATAGCATTGTCGTAGGGCCACAAGCCAATCTAGCATTAAACTTGTACCTTGTAACTTCCTGAGAAGTAAAAGCGGGCGTCGTTATTTTGAGTAGGTGCCTCACTAAGTGCCGGTTGGTCGGTTAAAACGAAGGTCTAGTGTTGTCTTCGTGGCAGACTAAAAGCATAGGCATGACCCTTTACTTCCAGTTGATCTCCTGACCATGTGTCCATCAGTGCCTATGGCTATAAGTCAGAAATTTGTTTGATTATTTGTATGCATTTTGCTTACTAGTTTCAAGCGTACTATAGACACACACACACACACACACACACACACACACACACACACACATACATATATATATATATATATATATATATATATATATATATATATATATATATATATATATATATATATATATATAAATTTATATATATAATTTCCCTCTGTCTTTCCAGAATGATACAGTTGTGAGCGAATTGCGAGAAAGTTATTCCCTCCATGCATTAGCTTGAAATTTAAACCCCAAAAAACTAAGAGCAATGGCTAACGCAACAAAACAAACCAACGAATTTTCCGCTGTAACAAATGTTAACTTCACCGACGAACCAGCAGAAACTTTCAGAGTGGCATCGAATGACAGACCAACAACCACACAGTCCATACATCTTCAGTTTGAAACAGAGCATCAACAGCCATCTCCGAGAACAAACGACCACCCCAAACCAACATTAATTCATTCATCTTCAATGGTAGACACCAGCCGCCTGAAAATGAACGTGTCGAACTCTGTCAACACGCTAGAGATAAAACATTCTAATTCGGACCAGATGATTCGAAAACAGACTGACGATAAAAGAGCTGCAACAAACGAGGTCGATGTAATTTTAGCTAGGAAAATCAGCAGTATGGATTTAGAATCGGTAGGCAGAACAAAGAGCAAACTATCCCTGAATCCTGTGGTGGCAGAAGACCCGAAGTGGCGGGATATCGGAGACTACGAAGTTTTGAGGCGGACCAAGTGTCGACGTCTGTATTCAAGGTTGGGCCCCAGCAAGGATCTGGCTCTGTTCTACAGATCTGGGAAGTTCTACGCCATGGAAGCTTGGTGTTCACATATGGGTGAGTTTACGGTTGTCGTCACACATGGGTGAGTTCACGGTTGTCTTGACAAATGGGTGAGTTCTCGGTTGTCTTCACACATGGGTGAGTTCACGGTTGTCTTCACACATTGGTGAGTTCACGGTTGTCTTCACACATGGGTGAGTTCACGGTTGTCTTCATACATGGGTGATGAGTTCACGGTTGTCTTGACACATTGAAGAGTTCACGGTTGTCTTCACACATGGGTGAGTTCACGGTTGTCTTCACACATGGGTGAGTTCACGGTGGTCTTCACACATGGGTGAGTTCACGGTTGTCTTGACACATGGGTGAGTTCACGGTTGTCTTCAAACATGGGTGAGTTCACGGTTGTCTTCACACATGAGTGAGTTCACGGTTGTCTTGACATGGGTGAGTTCACGGTTGTCTTGATACATGGGTGAGTTCACGGTTGTCTTGACACATGGGTGAGTTCACGGTTGTCTCCACACATGGGTGAGTTCACGGTTGTCTTGACACATGGTTGTGTTTACGGTTGTCTTGACACATGGGTGAGTTCACGGTGGTCTTCACACATGGGTGAGTTCACGGTGGTCTTCACACATGGGTGAGTTCACGGTTGTCTTCACACACTGCTCGTTTGCTAGATTGTTATGTTATTATTATTATTACAATTTTTATTATTATCATCCTCCTCATTATTGTGGTCATGATCGTCGTTGTTGTGTAGCTGCTAGCTATTTTGTTGAGTGATCGACTTCCCATCTAGGCTGGGGTTTCACGAAAATATGACATGGTCTATCAGGCCTGTCTATACTAAACTGTACAACAGAGAATATTTTGGGGAGTAAAGACGGCATAGATTTTATTACCACCTTCACACCAGATCGAGGCATCAATGGGACAGCACAGAGTATATTACCATTATCACACCAGATCAAGGCATCAATGGAACGGCACAGATTATATTACCACCATCACACCAGATCGAGGCATCAATGGGACAGCACAGATTATATTACCACCATCACACCAGATCGAGGCATCAATGGGACGGCACAAATTATATTACCACCATCAGACAAGATCAAGGCATCAATGGGACGGCATAGATTATATTACCACCATCACACCAGATCGAGGCATCAATGGGACGGCACAGATTATATTACCACCATCACACCAGATCAAGGCATCAATGGGACGGCACAGATTATATTACCACCACCACACCAGATCAAGGCATCAATGGGAAGACACAGATTATATTACCACCACCACACCAGATCAAGGCATCAATGGGACAGCACAAATTATATTACCACCATCACACCAGATCGAGGCATCAATGGGACGGCACAGATTATATTACCACCATCAGACAAGATCAAGGCATCAATGGGACGGCACAGATTATATTACCACCATCACACCAGATCGAGGCATCAATGGGAGGGCATAGATTATATTACCACCATCACACCAGATCGAGGCATTAATGGGAAGGTACAGATTGTATTACCACCATCACACCAGATCGAGCCATCAATGGGAAGGTACAGATTACATTACCACCATCACACCAGATCGAGGCATCAATGGGACGGCATAGATTATATTACCACCATCACACCAGATCGAGGCATCAATGGGAAGACACAGATTATATTACCACCATCACACCAGATCAAGGCATCAATGGGACGGCACAGATTATATTACCACCATCACACCAGATCAAGGCATCAATGGGACGGCATAGATTATATTACCACCATCACACCAGATCGAGGCATCAATGGGAAGACACAGATTATAGTACCACCATCACACCAGATCGAGGCATCAATGGGAAGACACAGATTATATTACCACCATCACACCAGATCGAGGCATCAATGGAAAGACACAGGTTATATTACCACCATCACACCAGATCAAGGCATCAATGGGAGCTCACTCTCATTGCTTGGTCTCTTAATGTGACTAGAACCTGAAAAATAAATGAACAAAGGGGAGCTCAAAAAAAAAAAAAACTTAAGCTTTGTTGAAGTTTACATTATTATTATTCATTATTATTGTATGCTAAATTTTTTTTATAAATATAATAAATACTTTTGAAATGAAGTGTATGCACGCTTTAAATTAAAACGTGTATACAAGATTATGAAAAGAGGGGTAGCGCATTAAGTCCCCTTGTACATGTTCTAGGGGCGGGGCTCTCGTTTACACTGAGGAGTGGGGGCGGGGGGCGCTCAACATTCCAGAGCCCTTAGATTCCGGCACCTTACAGCAGACATATGGCCCGACAGACAGAAGACGAGCAGACAGAGGAATAAACAGATAGACAAATACGTTAAACACCGCGCTCATGCATTTGTGAAATGAATACGACATCAAAGAAGCGTTAAATCACATCGCAAGTAGTTCAATATTGACATTTTAATGTTCGCCTGCGAGCAGGCCAAACCTTGCGAGACCATGTTTAATACGATTTCCTTTAGTTGAAGAGCTCTGGCAAACACGCGCGTCCCACCCCAACTCCGCGTTTTATGTTGGTTTGTCTCGGTAACTTCGGAATAGTTTTTTAGTTTACGGCTGGTAGCCATGGTTGCTGTGGTTACGAGAATAAACAAGTTCTCAACTTGTGGCCATTTCATGTGGATTGTTGGTTGTCTGCAGGGTTGAGTTGGTGATAATTTGTTGGATTAGTGGGGCCATTTCATGTGGATTGTTGGTTGTCTGCAGGGTTGAGTTAGTGATTTTTTGTTGGATTAGTGGGGCCTTTTCATGTGGATTGTTGGTTGTCTGCAGGGTTGAGTTGGTGATTTTTTGGATTAGTGAGTTGAGTAGTTGAAGAGGTGGTAAGGGGTGAAGATGGGACTGAGTGGGAGGGAAGGTGAAAGGGGGTAGAACATTTAAAATGCAGTTATACATGTCTATGTGTGTGTGTGTGTGGGGGGGGGGGTGCAGAGAGAGAGAGAGAGAGAGAGAGAGAGAGAGAGAGAGAGAGAGAGAGACCGACAGACAATTGCAACAAATGAAAACAGCAGGCTAGTATGGCTGACATTTAAATATACACGCAGGCAAACAAGCAAGAAAGCAGACAGGCATACATCGAGACAAACGGGCAGACAGGTGTTTATTTAATCAGACAAGAATATGTTATAGCCGCTAGAGACAGATATTCAGAGACAAACAACGAAAATAAGAACAACTGCAGAAAAATGCAGGCAGACATTTAAATAAACGAAAGGTAAATAGATGAAGAAGCCAAGTACACGGAAAATGTGGCTGATTTTTAGAAAATGTAGTATTTACACAGAATACCATCGTCTTGGGTATAAACTGAGGAGACTATAGGCAAATCTCATTCTTCCCCGCAATAATGTATTCCCATCTCAATCCAAGTTCCCACCCTTTCAATAATATATTCCCATCTCAATCCAAGTTCCCACCCCTGCAATAATGTATTCCCATCTCAATCCAAGTTCCCACCCCTGCAATAATGTATTCCCATCTCAATCCAAGTTCCCAGCCCTGCAATAATGTATTCCCATCTCAATCCAAGTTCCCACCCCTGCAATAATGTATTCCCATCTCAATCCAAGTTCCCACCCCTGCAATAATGTATTCCCATCTCAATCTAAGTTCCCACCCCTGCAATAATGTATTCCCATCTTCCTATCTGTTCACATCTCCACATTAATGTATTACCAGCTCCCTCTATGTTCACATCTTCAGCATGAATGTAATCTTGCCTTCCCTATAAACATTACCCCATCATTCATATATCTCACTTACCCCCGCCCTCCCCCCACTTTTCCCATCCCCTCTCCCCAGCTGCAACTTTGTTCACAGGTAAAGATCCTTTTAATTTCATTATTCACATCCACAAATCGTTATTGCACCCGCTCTCCTTGTTCACATCCACAAATCGTTATTGCACCCGCTTTCCCTGTTCACATCCACATATCGTTATTGCACCAGCTCTCCCTGTTCACATCCACATATCGTTATTGCACCCGCTCTCCCTGTTAACATCCACATATCGTTATTGCACCCGCTCTCCCTGTTCACATCCACAAATCGTTATTGCACCCGCTTTCCCTGTTCACATCCACATATCGTTATTGCACCAGCTCTCCCTGTTCACATCCACATATCGTTATTGCACCCGCTCTCCCTGTTAACATCCACATATCGTTATTGCACCCGCTCTCCCTGTTCACATCCACAAATCGTTATTGCACCCGCTCTCCCTGTTCACCTCCCTACAATTTCATGCATCCCCCTGATTCCCCTGTCGCATCCTCACAATTTCACCCCCCCCCCCCCCCCCCCACATTTTCCACCGCCTCACAGTTCACAGCCCCACAATTTCATGCATCCTCTGCCTCCCCTTTCACAGTCCCATAATTTCATGTACTCCCGGCTT